CCTCAGTGAAAAGAATTCTAGCAGCCCACAAGGGGAAAGGGTAGAACAAAGTTCCTCTCTACCTGTGCCCTCAACCCTGTGCCCTGCCACCAACTGAAGTGTTTCCCTCAAACCTGGCCATGGGACCAACCTGAGTTTCTGAGTGGGGAAAAGTTAAGCACCTTGGGTCCACAGCTACCCACCTCCTTGTATGCAGGCCACCTAGGGACTTGCATTCTCCTAGGGCAGTGGTGATAAACGCTGGCACACGAGCTGTTTGTATCCTGAAAAACTCTTGAAGGTTTGCCACCAGTGTCCTGGGAACTTACTGGTCTTTCAGCCCCATTAGCTGAATCAGCCTGTTGGGCTCCTGAGCTATGATCAAGATCCCCAGTTCATTGTTTGTCCTTGATTTTAAGCTGTTATCTACGTAAGTGTTGCCATTTGTAACTTACTCTTTTCAAAAATGTTTTTATGGCTTTGGCTTTTGTCATGCTTAGGAAAACTTTCTTCATCCCAAGAGCATTAAGCGATCTCTTGCTTTGGAGTTTTTGCAGTTATTTTTCTGGCCATACGAAATTCATTTCCTGGCAAGGACTGGAGGCAGGCAGGATGGCAGGTTTTTCTGTAGGCAGCTGCCCAGCTTCTCTAGCACCTTTGATTCAGAAACACCCACATAGTCACAGGCGAAGTGGCCACACGGACCCCAACTCCTGGGCCATGAACAGAATTTCTGGGTATGTACCCAGAAATAGGGTTGTTGGATTTTTTGAGAACCTGTTCCACTGCTTGCTGTAAGAACCGAATGCTATGATACTCCCCTTGCAGTGCACACAGAGGAGTCCCTGCTCCTCTTGCTGGGTTTGGGCAGCGGCAGTCCTACAGGATGTGGGGTGGTGTCTCACTGTGGATTCGGCTGGCAGTTCTCCAGGGATAAGTGCAGTTGAGAATTACTCATGTATTTCCAAAACTGTCCTGAAGCACTTTCCTGGGGTTGCATTCCACATATGGAGCAATTTGGGGGCCCTAGGGCCATGTCCCTCCTTGGTTTTCCTTTCCTGGTTTCCTGTGGTCTTTTAGCCTAGACTGAGGTGGCCTCTGTCCCTTCCTGTGGTCCCTGCTCCATGAGGACTAGCTTGAGACCCACTATTGACGCCCACGCCTGCTTTCCTGGCCTGGGTCTCCGAGACCAGTGAGAGGGCACAACTGGCTAGGCATTCAGACAGAACCCGTGCACCATCCCCGCCCTTTACTTGGTGGAGTCAGGGTCCTGGCAGAAGGGACACAGAAAAAATAGTCTAAAAAGTGGTCATTTACATAAAGCAGGGCAAGGGGTTCGCAAAGCCAGGAGGAAGGACAAGCCCTGCAGTAGGGGCTGGAGGAGCTCAGGGCCTGGATGAGTAGGTAAGAAGAGTGGGCAGAGGAGCCCCGGAAATTCCAAGCTCCCCTGGATGCAAATGGGGCGGGGTCTGAAATCAGTGCACCAGAGGGGCAGCGCCCATGTATCCAGGACAAACATACCCTCGCCCCGCGCGCAAGATGCTACATCAGCCCTATGGCCCTCGTGTTCTGGCCAAGTATCTATGGCTGGACACCAGGCCACCCCCCTCCAAGTCCTTCGAACCACGTCGACACTGCAGCCCGAAAAGTCTCTACCTGAGCGGGTCTGGCCTGTATTAACCCTGGCGAAACCCTGTCCTTGGGAAGGGCCCAATCACCTAATCTCCAGCTGCAGGGCTGTCCCTGACCCCTGCAGTCCTCCTTGAGCGCCTTTGATGTGTCCAGAGCGCGCGGACGGCTCCCTTTGTCCTCGGTGCGCCCGGCTGTGGATGCGCCGGTCCAGCTCGGGGTCTGGGAGGGGGCACAGTCGCGGCCACAGCAGACTGTGGCCCGGTGACGGAACCGGCCGTGCACTCCCGTAGCCGCCACCTCCGAAGCAGGAAGCGGGCCCGCCCCGCCCCGCCTGGCTCCACCTCGCCCGCTCTGGATCCCGGCGCAGCACCTGGCGAGGACCTGTCCGCCGGCCGCGGGAGTCCCGGCCGCATGGCCCTCGGCTGGCCCAGCGCGCGGGGCACCCAGGTAGGGAGCTCGCGCCCGACCCGCCAGAAGGGTCTCAGGAACCTCACGCCGCCCCACCCGGCAGGTGGCGCCCCCACCCTCGCCAGCCGCCGGGCAAAGGTCGGGGCCGCGACGCGCCTGGAGCCGGGGCCCCCGGTGCGAGGTGACGCGTTAACCCGCTGGCCCGGCGCCCGGGCCGGCGAGGGGCTGAGGCCGCCGGTTCCGCCCCATCGCGGGGTCGCTGCGTAACCCTGAGCTGCTGGGCGGGGGTGGGGCGGGGCGCTCACCTGGCCGGGGCGGGGCGGAGGCGGGCAGGGGCGTGGCGGGGGCGTGCCCGGGGCGGGGCGGGGCGCCCGCAGACGTCAGGCACCCGTGAGGCCGCCGGCCGCCGCGGTGCCGAGGGCTCGGCCGGGCCGAGAGCGTGCGGGCCGCGCCAGGCAGGTCCTCGGCGGCAGCCCCGCCCCGCACGGCCGGCCGGGCGGGCGGCAGGCGGGATCGCCGGGCCGGGCCGGGCCGGACCGGGCCTGGCCGGGCTGGAATCCGGACTGGGGCCGGGGCCGGGCGGCTGGCGGAGCTGCAGGTAAGACGCACAGGCCCTTCTTGGCGGCACCTGCGCTCCCCAGGCGGCACCGGAGCCACAGGGGCGCGGGCCAGGACAAAGGCGCGGGCTGGGGTTGGGGCACCTGGCCGGGCCGGTCCCCGCGGAGGCGGCGAGGGCTGCGCCGGGCCGGGAGGGCATGGGAGGGGCCGGGAGCGCGTCTACGCGGCCTGCGGAGGACCAGGCCCGGCGCTTGGCCCCGACCCGCGGTGATTCAGGCGGCGCCTGTCTCCCGGCCTCCTCCTCTCCTTATTCCCTGCGCCGCCGCGGCCCGGCCTCCCGTCGTCTCTACCCTCCCATCCTCGCCTCCTCCCGCCTCACCTCCGGGCGGTGGCCCTGCCGCCGTGGAGGGGACTAGTTTGGGGTGTTTGTTATTACCCTTCCCAGCAACGGCGGCCAGCCAGCCAAGCCCACACAGGCGCAGGTTGTGGAGAGTACGGTCAGTGCCCTGGGCCTGGTCCGGTGGCCTGGCCGGGATCAGCCGCATGGCTTTTCCCTGCCGTGAAATGAGACTGCGGCCTCCTCTGGGAGTGTCCCTGCCGGGTGGCCTGGTGATGGCTGATTGGAGAGCAAGGACTGGTTAGGGCTCTGCAGAGCCTGCCTCTCCCCAGCAGGTTTAGGAGATCCCAGGAGATGGAGGTGTGGTGGTGTTGGGTCTCTGGAATATGAGGGCTGCAGGGACACCATTCTAGAGACCATCACTCCCCTCCCCAGAGGCTGGGACCAGCAGAAAGGCAGGACCAAGGTGAGGGTTCAAGCTTGGATGTGCTTCCTTCTCGTGTAGGTTTCCCTCTCATACATCTTGAGGGTATGTCAGGTGTGTCAGGTGTGTAGGGGATTCCAGGTCAGATGGTATTGCAGAGGGGTGGAGCCTGGTGTTAATCTGCCCTCTTGCTCACTGCAGGCCTGGGTGAAGAGCTCTCAGCTGTAATGGACATTACAGGACAAGGCCTGCCCCTAAGGGACTAGTGGCTGGGATGACCCTTGTATATGACTTTGTGTGGCTGTCCCTCGCTCAGTGATGCCCCTCTCACCCAGCTTTGTCCAAGACCTAGAGTCCTTCCCAACCCACTAACCAACATATCCAATCTAGATGCCACGACCCTGCCCTCCTCCTGCTCTGCTCACCTGGCCTTGGCCCCTCTCCCCCCAACCCTGCTTACTCCAGCTGTTCTCCGTGCCATGAATGAGACCCTCAGCAAGGAGCCAGGAGCCCCAGGCCAGCTCATGGGCATGGGAACTATGTGCCAGCTCAGCCCCTATCCAAACCCCGTACTCAGGCTAGTCTTCTTGGTTTCTGAGGAGGCTCTCCAGTGTCCCTTTGCACCCACACAGTGGTGGCCTTCTTGCCTCAGGACCCCTCAGGGGTAGATGAGACTGGGTCCCTCTGCTGTGCTGCATTGCACTGGCTGGTTGCTGCCTGCTGGGCTGACACTCACCACCCTACTTTGTCCCTCCCAGCCCAGCCTGACTGTTGCATGGGGCTGGGGACCGCCTTGTTACAGGACCTCTGTGTCCTGGTCACGGCCACCTCAGCTCAGGCCTCTCTAGCATATAGTGTGCATGATGTGTGTTACAGTGTGTGTCTGCCTATGCAAGTGCTCTGGGTGTGCAGCGTGCCCATGTCTGTGCACACAGTGCACTGAGGGCCTCAGGTCACCAGGGCCTGGTCTCAGGATGACTTTGCTCCTTGCTGTCACTTAGGCCCACAGTGTCCTTCTTTCTGCCATGGAGCTCCCTGTCTGCCCTATCGCACTTGCCCATCAGACCCCTTCTTTGCCAGTGTCCCCCTTCTGGCACTGCATGGGCTGCCTGATGCCTGAACTATCGAACTGTGGTTGGCAGGGGATATTTCAGCTTCCTTCCTGTGGGGGCACAGTGATGGTTCAAAGCCTTCTCTCCACCTGTAGCCCTTTGCTACAGGACCCTTGTCTGGGCTCAGTCCAAGTGTCCTGCGATGGGAAGTGGGCCTTCTGGGTCAGGGTGTTTGTGTGTGGGCCATGTGGGTGCGTGGGGCTGCACACAGGCAGTGTGCCCAGTGTCCCATGAACCTTGAAGAGCACCTGAAGAGAGAAGAGACTTAAATGTCTTGGGACCTGAAAGACAAGACCATGGGGTGGAGGGTCCAGAGAGGGGAATGATGGGGAAGGCAGGTCATGCAGGATACAGGCTTAGCACTGAGAGCTGGGTTATGCTCAGGAAAGGATCCCACAGGCCCAGAGCACACTGGAGCCAGAATTTCCAGAAGAGGCTAGCCAGAGCCTCAGAGAGCAGATCTGTGCTGGGCCGTGAGAACTCCTGGGGTGTTCCAACCTGGGAAGCCCTACTCTGATGACCACCTCCTTCCAGGGCCAGCCGGGCCTCACCAGCACCAAGATGAGTGTCACCTCCTGGTTCCTGGTGAGCAGCAGCGGCACCCGCCACCGGCTCCCACGAGAGCTCATCTTTGTGGGGCGAGATGAGTGTGAGCTTATGCTGCAGGTGAGCCGCTCTTGGGGCTGGGAGAAAGGGTGGGGCTCGGGACTAGCAGGTGCCCCCACCTGCTGCAAGACTCTAGGCCCAGGCCTCTCCATCTAGGCCCTGGCCCCATGAATTGGCCCCAAGGTCTCTGTGACGTGTGCAGAGATTTGCCTGTGCTGCAGACAAGCCTAGTTTTGGTTGGATCTTGGTCCCCTACCATATAATGCCAGCTGTCCCTGTCCCTGGGGAGCCCCACTCTGATGTGTGCTGGTGGGGCACATGGATGCGTGGGTCTGTACATAAGCAGTGTGCTCAGTGTCCCATGAACCTTGAAAAGCACCCGAAAAAGGAAGAGACAGTCCTGCCTAGGCTGAGACGGGTAGTGCCACAGCACATTTTACCCTGTCAGCAAGTGTGAGGCTGCCTCTGCCCAGGACACCTCTCTTGTGTTGATACTCTGTCTGCCTCTGTGTGGTCCTAATGTTTCTATCCCCTCAAAAGCATGTCAGTACTTGAACTTAGTGCCTAGAGGGTAGTGTGAAAGGTGAAGCCCTAAGGGGTGACTAGGAGATGAGAGTCTGAGCGCATAGGATTGGGGCCTTAGGACAAGCCTGGAGGGAGCTTGTCCATCCTTCCGCAGCTGAAGGCTCCATCTAAAGCAGAGACAGGGTCTCTGTCTCTGGCGCCTTGGTGTCGCCTATTGGTCCAGTACTGTGGGCAGCACTTGCACATTGTCCAGTCTAAGAGGTTTTGTCACAGCAGCTGAGGACCAAGCCCTGACATCCCAGCCTTTCCCTTCTAGTCTTCCAGTGCACCTGGATCCAAACTCATCTGCTCTGCCCATTGCTGGGCTGCTCAGACTATGGTATTCCTTTGACCAGAACTCTCTGCCCTTCTCTGCACCCCTGGCGAGCACAGAGACAAGTCAGTGGCTTGTACAGTAGTCACAAGTATGTGCTGTGAAGGCTTTGCTGGCCAAGTGGCTGCTCATGGCCTGGCCCCCTAGTATGAGGATGCCACAGATGGTGCCCAGAGCCAGCATGGCATGCACAGTCTTGCTTATTCAGAGATGCTGAGTGTTGTTTTTCTGTGACTTTTACAGGTCTCTTGACTTTTAATTATTTAAAAGCATAAATATGGTGAGCACAGGCTGCACCCCCAGCCTTATAGGTAGGCTGGGCTAGGTCTATTGGATTGTTCCTAGAGTATAGCCTGAAATTCTTGGTGTGGATGATAGGCACACTGTGCTCCTAGGGTCATCAGGAAGGCCTCAGGGAGGAGGTAGCAATTTAGGGCCTTAGTTACTTTTCTTATTGCTGAGATAAATACCCAACAATCACAAGTTAAAGGAGGGAAAATCTGTTTAGCTCACAGTTTGTAGAGGTTTCAGTCCATAGTTGGCTGGATCTAAGGTAGGGCAGCATAGCAGAGGGGGATCATACAGGAGAAACAGTCCATGGCAGGGGCAGGCAGGAGGCCTTGAGCAGCAACAGCAAGAAGGTGGCCTTCTTTCTGTCCCTTTATATTCCATCCAGGCTGGAGCCTCTTGATTGGTGCTACTCATGTCCAGGGTGAGGCTTCCATTATCTACAGCCTTAATCTTAGTATCACATCCTTGACCCACATTCACTCACCCTAATCCACTCTAAACCTTGGAAACTCCCCTCCTATGACCACATGAGATCTGGGGGACATCTAGATACAAGCCTGACAGGGCCTTGGAGAGGAAGTGAGGTGAGCCTGGAATGCTGGAGCTCCTCCCACCCTGACCCTGGCTCTGCCCCACTGCTTGCTGCTTTTCCTGGGCACTAGGGGAGAGGCGATCTAGGGGTCCCAGTGCCCACCTGGGTCTGCGGCCCAATCCTAGTCCCTGGGCCAGTTGCTGGTGCAGCCTGGAGCAGGGCAGGAGCAGTGGCAGCTTTCACGTCTCTGTGCCAGGCAGCTCCTGCCCTGGGTGCACCTATGCTTTTGCCCCAAGGTGGTGGTGCAGCTGTGTAAAAGGTGACTCCATCTTACACAGGGAAACTGAAGGTGGAGAGCTCAAGCATGAACAGAGAGAGCCCAGGAAGGCTATGCAACCCCTGTCACCCGCACCATGGTCACCAGTCTACCTCCCACCCCATGTCCTCTCAGCTGTCTTCCCCTCTCTCTCCTGTGGGCCACCTCTGCTGGGAAGTCCTTACTGCCACATCACACCTGGCCCCAGGTCGCCACCCCCAGTCTGCCTCACCCATCCTGGCAGGTACCACCTTCCCTTGGTACCAACCTCTGAGCCCTTGGGACCTTTGCATCTGTTGACCCCCTCCCCATGGTCCTTCCTGGAATCTCCACTCCAAATCCCTCCAGCCTGGGCTTCTGTTCAGTGGTCGAATGTGGTACATATTGTCCTGTGCCCATCCTGTCTTCCATCCCTGACCTTGGCCACATGGCTCCTTTGGGCTGAGCCTGGGATCACCCTCTGTCCCTTCCAGACCTACTACCACCCCATCCTGTCCTCACCTCACACCTGGCCCCCTGGGTGGTGCTCCCCACCCCACCCCTGGCTCACAGAGGGTGGCCCCAGCCTGTCCCCATGTCCTGGCCCTTAGCTACCTAGGTGTGAGTCTGCCTTCCCGTCCCAGACTCCCTTGCTGGGAGTTGCTGGGAGTCACCACACACCCAGCCACTTGCTCTGCCCACCCAGAAGCACCTGGCCTCCTCCGGCCTGCTTCTGGTACCCAGTTGTCACTGCATCTGTCCACTTATCCTGCTCCTGCTCTGTGCCAGCACATACTGCTGTGGCTTCCAGGCCTGCCCTTCCCCTCTGCATGGGAGAAGTACCAAGAAGGCAGCACTGGGACTAGGCCTGGGGCTCAGGGCCACCAGACAGCTCGGTGAGAAGGAAGGGGCTGGCAGGAAGGAGTGGCTGTAGGAGGACACGGGCCCCGGGGAAGGGAAGGCAGGGCAGCCTGAGGCCAGGCCTTGGCCAGGTAGGCAGGGCTGTGAGGTTCTCGGTTCTGGGTCAGCCCATCCACCTCACAGCACAGGCCTGTAGTTTGCTGGTATACTGTCCAGTCCCAGGGCAGATCTGGCCTGAGCTGGTGCCGATGAGCGTGTGCTGTGTGACATGGGCGAGCCTGTGTGCACACAGGAGTGTGGGTCCGCATGGGCCGGGATATACACATGGGCCTGCACCGCCTGTGGTGCTTCCACCATGGCCAAGGTCTTGTCCCCAGACGTGCTCTTGCCTGGTCCCTACCGGGTCACAGGAGTGCTGGGGACCAGACTCCCAAAGCCTCTGCCTCACCCACCCTGGCCTGTGGTTGTCCCTGGGCACAGGTGACGGCTGGGATCTTGACTCAAGGACCTGCTCCATTGCCTGTGGCCTCCCTCACGGCTGCGCTGGGGATGAGCTGGCAGAGGCTGTGCCGGGAGCCCTGGCTTGTGGCCCAGACAGGCTCTGCACAGTAGGACAGGGCTCTCCCCACAGAGGGCGTCAGACTCGGCTTGGAGCACATCTTTATTTTGTTCTGAAGTGGGTCCAAGTCTGCCTCCCTCTGTCCACGTGTTGGGTTTGTCTACCCCGCTCAGTCTGCAAACCTAGTGAGCCCTGGGGGAGGGTAGGTGGAGCCTTCTGGGTGGGCTGGCCTCCTGCCCTGAGCATGCAGGCTTGACCAGGCGAGGCTTTGCTTCTGGCCTAAAGTGTCTGGGCTGAGAGGGAGGTTGCTTGAGGGGAGCCCTGAAACCCCAGCACTCCTAGCTCACACTGGGCTCCATGGCTTCCAGAGTTGGCCAGTTCTGCTGCGTTTCCTGGTCCCCAGGCCTGTGGTCCAGCAGGATCCTGGTAGCTATGTGCCTGGGGTGAGGCCCTGACTGCCATGGCCAGCCAGACCTGGCAGAGACAGCATGGATGAGTGACGACTGTGTTTGGGGCAGGAACTCAGAAGCTGGAGCTGCAGAGCGCATCTGCAGAGGAGAAGTGGGGCATCTTATGGGCTGCGACCCAGAGCACAGGAAGGTGTGGCGCTTCCTGAGCCCATGTGTGGCCTGGGGGGAGAGGGAGATCTGGAGGCTTTCTGACCATTCCTCCCCTCCCCGGCCAGAGAGACCCCAGGAAATATCAGCAGGAGTCTGATGGCCTCAAAATGATGGGGGCGGGGGCTTCTGGGGGAAGACTAGCTGCAGGGACTCAGGACTGTGCCACCCTTCATGGTGGAGGGGAATAGTCATCAGCACCTCTGGCAGCCCACTGGTCCTTGGGCTAAATACTTGATAGCTTCCTGAGTTGGCTGTTTCTACTGGTCTCTCCTGGTCCGGGCCCAGGCCTGTGGCTACCAAGTGGAGGAGTTAGGGACAGGTGTGGCATGGAGTGAAGGTGGGCAGGGGAGCTCCGTGGTGAGACTACAGGCCTTGGAGACTGGGCGCAATGGGACCCTGCTGCACCCCCTGAGCAAGGAGAATATGACACTGTCCCTGCCAACATCTGGGTGAGAAGTAGAGTGCTACAGCTGGACAGCTGAGGTAACCGTGTGAGGGAGCTAGGGCGACTGTCCTAGAGAGGGTCCTGGATAGGCTGGTGGCCAGGGGAGATAAACCTCACACAAGGTGGAGGACCTGTGTGCATGCTGAAGTGTGTGTTCACATGTGCGTGTGCACAGGGCTGAAGGCAGGTGCCAGAACCTTGCTAGGGCATGGGGCCGCAGGAGCCACCAGGAACAGGAGCCTCAGCATGCACACGCACCCTTGACCCTGAGTCTGTGTACCTGCCCCCGATCTCTGGGCCTTGCTGGAGCCTGAGCAGGCCACCCCCGCCTGTCCTTGGGAAGTAACTGCCTTCTGAATAAACAGCAGGCTCTCAGTCTCCCACCGTCCACCCAGAGAGGGTGCTGAAACAGGAGGATGGGCGGGGAGAGATCGTGGAGGAGGCACCAGGGTGTCTGCAGGTGCAGGGAAAGTGGCCTTGGAGCCTTGTCTAGTCCCTTTGGCCTCCATCGTGGCTGGGTGGCTTTATCAGGCACACAGTCTATGTGTAGGTGGAGTGGGGGTCGATGGCCCAGGCGCCCAGTGTGGGATGGTGTGGTGGGCTGTGGGCAGCACTGGTGCCTCTGTCTCTGGGACTTGTCTCCCCAGGATGGGGTACCTGAGTGCCTCCTGTGTGTCTCTGTAGTCCCGCAGCGTGGATAAGCAGCATGCCGTCATCAACTATGACCCTGACCGAGACGAGCACTGGGTAAAGGATCTGGGCAGTCTCAATGGGGTAAGTGTTGCAGTTCTGCCCTGGCCCCACCCCTGGGCCCCTGACCTACCCAGGTCTGCTCTGTGTAGTAGGGGGAGGGAAGGGAACCCCCTTGAAAGGGTCCCATTGGCCCTTGGTCTCCCAGGGTGGAGCTGGCCCACGCCCACAGTGTGGACACCTTGCTCTGGGCAGACAAGGCTGGGAAGCAGCCTCCCGGAGAGGAAGGGGCTGTACCTGCTGCCCTGATGGGGTATGGGGGACTGTGTGGCCTCTTTTGGGGCTTGTGGCTGCAAGTATGGGGTGAGGGATGGGGGCCACTCCAGCACGCATGTCTATCTATTCTGGAGGAACCATCAGTGCATCTCTGTAGGTGCACAGGTACGCTGGGACACTGTTCAATGAGAAAGCAAGCCATCAAGTTCTGTTCAGCAAGCCGTGCAGTCCTGAGTCAGGAGTCCCTCTGATGTCTCAGGGGCCCCGCCTCTGCTGCATGACCTTTGGGAGTCCTGGGCACCTGCTCTTGATGCTCCTTGGGGTGCTCCCACCCAGGTAGCCTCAGGTCCGCTCCTTCCTCATCTACCTGTCAGCTCCCTACTTGCCCAGGCTCCATGGCAAACAGAGCTCGCCTCTGCTGCCCACAGTGCCCTCAGTGGATCCCTAGGCTGCCAGCCCTGAGCCGATACCTGCACTATGCAGGGCCACCGCCCACAAGGTCTGCCGTGGCCACACAGAGCTGTGGCCTGCCTGTCTGTGGGACTCGGAGCTCTGCTGTGGACATGGTTGCAGCGAGGACCTGCAGTGCCTGCATGCTGTCCAGTGCTGTCCCTGCCTCTCAGTTGTATGGCCATCTATTCTCCACAGACTTTCGTGAATGACGTGCGAATCCCAGACCAGAAGTACATCACCCTGAAGCTCAACGACGTCGTCCGCTTTGGCTATGATATCCTTCCCCACAGCACTCAGGGCAAGTGGCCCTGAACTTCTGGAAGTGGGTGGGGCCCTCAGGTCCAGGTTAGCACACACAGGGTAAGCTCGAGGCTGGTCTCCACTGGGGGCCTCCACTCCTGCTGCCCCCTCCACCCGCCAAACCCCAGGTTACAGAGGCCTGGGGAATCTTGGGACCCCATCATAGCCTGACCTTGAGGCTGATGGGTAGAACACCAGTGTGGATGTGGGGCACGCTGACCCCCCGGGAAGGAGCCCCCACCACCTGCACAGCACTTGAGTAGCTGTCCGGGGCACTGGGTACAGATTGTCTACTTTGCCTGCCCCTGTTCTCCTCAACGGTGCCACATTCCAACATGTATGTGCTGGAGCGGGTACAGCACCGTGTGCCTGAGGAGGCCCTCAAGGTGGGTGCCTAGGTTGGGTGCCCAGGGTGGGGGGATGCACATCTCAAGGGTTGCTAGAGAGAATGGGTCAGGCTTGAAGTGGCCTTCGTGTCCCCACTGTGGGGCCCACCTGCTCCAGCCCCTACCCTGGGTCTCCACTCGCCCCTGAAAGCTCTGCTCCCTCAGCAGGTATCCCCAGCCCCTGGTGCCAGGAGCCAGCCAGCCTGTCCTGCCCTGCCAGCTGGCCCAGTCTGGCAGGTGGGGACGTAGTCATCACCCTCCAGGCTTGTGTGGGACAGGTGGTGGAGGTAGTGGGGTGTGGGTTAAGTGCCTGGCCTGCTAGAGGTGAGGGACTTTCCAAGCCACTCCCAGGGCCTAGCCCTATGGTTCAATAAGCAAACTGATATCAGTGAGAGGAGACAGAACTCCTGCTGGGGACAGAGTACATTGCTGAGGCAGGGAAGATGAGGAGCCGGGCCCTGGGGCCTCTGGGTCTGTCCAGCTTCTTGGGTGCAGGAGCTCCCTGAGGTATAAAAGTGCCATCCAGCACAGTGCCCTTGTGTGTGCCAGGGTCACATGCCCCAGCCAGGCTGCGAGATCCCAGCTGAGCCCTGGTGGGCTGTAGCAGCTGCCGTCCAAGTCCGTAGGGCACAGGTGCACGGGACCCTGCTCAGAGCCCCTGAGTATGTCTGGTGGGCATTTGTGGCCTCACTTTAAGTGAACATGGGTAGCTCAAGGTCTCATAGCCAGGAGGGCAGGGCTAATGTGCACACTCTGAACATGCATTGTAGGTTCACTGAGGCAATGCAGGAACAGACGTGTGCACTCACATGCAGGCATGCACAGGTACACATATACACATGCACACATGTAGACATGACTGCTCCCCACCCTAACCGTCCCCTGGGCCTTGTTCCGCATGGGACCTATGGTGGCAGTCCCCAAGACCCCCACTCATTCTTTACCCCTGGCCAAGCAAGCCCCAGTACCGCTCTGGGAGCCCAGTGGCTTGAGGACCCCCTACTTAGGTGTGGGGGTACCCAGGCTCTGTGCATTTTCTGGGGTGTGGGGAGACCGTTCTGTGGGCAAGAGGACAGGCGAGGTCTGCCCTGGATGGTGACTCGTCCTTCACTTGTCCACAGCATGAGAAGTACACCAGCCAGCTGCAGGTGGGTGTCAAGAGCCCGGCACCCAGGAGGAACGAGGCGCCACCTGAATTCACAGCCTACTGCGAGTCCTCTCACCCCAGGCCAGAGAAGGGAGACCGGAGACCTACCGGTAGGCCAGGAATGGGACGGGAGACAGAACAAGGGTAAACACACAGGACCATGTTCAGGCCTGCTGGCCCCTGTGTCCTGTCCACTGCCATACCCCACTCTACTCTACTGTCCCGCTCTACTCTACTGTACCCCTGTGACCCCTTTGACTCCCTCACTCCAGCTCCTGCTCCCCCTGAGCCTGTGATACCCCACAAGTAGGCCCGCACACACTTCCTAGCCTGTTATGCTCCTGCAGCTGGCAGCACGAGCTGACCAGAGGCAGGTGGTGCTGGGGTAACATGCTGCCCATAGACACAGAACCATGCAGTGAAACCTGGGTGCCTAGGTGCGGGGGAAGACGTGGTGGGAGGCAAAGGTGCTGCCATCTGGGCTCCAGTGAGCCAGGGCTCCCCTTTGCCAGAAAAGGTGAGGGGCTGCCCAGCACGGCCTCTGCTGTGTTCCTGTGGCAGCCTGTGTGGGGTCCCCAGCTGCCAAGCTCCAGCTGGGACCCTAGTGTCTCAGCAGAGCCTCCCCATTCTGAAACTTGACTGGCTGGGGCCTGGGAAGGTTTTACAGAAGTCACATGAGCTTTGAGAACACTGGGCAGGGTTGAGTCCGGTGTGCACATAGCTGGCAGTGGTAGCTCAGAGTGTCCTGGGTCACAGCGGGTGCACCAGCCAGACAGCCTGCTCCTCACCCCCATCAGCCAGTCCAGGAGACAAGCTCGGGCCCAGGTTGGGAGTTACTGCCCAAGGTGGGACCCCCTTCCTATGCTGCTGGAGTACAAAATTAGATCAGGAGGTGACCCCCAATCCCCACATTGACACATTCAGAGAAGTCGTCCACTTGGAGAGCATTCGGTGCCCAACTGCTGACCAGCCTTGGGACCACTTGCTGCCCAGTGTGAGGGTAGTTAGGAGCCCTGCTCCTGTGACTCAGATACCACATGGCTCTGGTAGGGCTGGAGGAGCTGGAGAGCTGGAAAGGCTTTGGGCACTGGGTTGATACCCTGACCTGGGCCACCAGGTGCCACTCCCACCCAAATCAGCTGGAAAATCGGGTTTCATGGAAAGTATAATTTTCTCTTCTGGCTAGTATTCAAAGACTAAATCAGATACTCAGAACATCCCATGAACCACTGTGGCCAAGGTGGCCTTCAGACCCGAGGGGTACCTAAGGATGGCCTGGACCACTTCTAGAACCCCAGAGAAAGGCTGGGTGGGCAGTGGGCTCCACTTCCCTTGTCCCCATTGGGCCAGCTCTGCAGTGGGAGAGTCAAGCCTAGGGCTGGAGGACTCGCCAGCTCTAGGAAGGGTATGCAGGGGCTGTGCCCTCCAGGGACAATCCTCCCTGTGGTGGGCTCTGTAGAGATCTGTAGAGATCCATGCAGGAGCAGACAGGTGAGAAGTGGAAACAGGCTCAACGTGGTTACCCGGAGGCCAGCATCCATGGCAGCTGCAGGTCTGGGCTGGGAGGGGACCCAGGGCCTGAGTTCTGCCTCCCTGCAGAGTCGGTGGTGTACCGCACACCTTTGTATGGGCAGCCGTCCTGGTGGGGTGAGGATGACAGTGGCACACCGCCCGAGGACCGGCGCCAGGAGGATCCCTACCCAGGTGGGTCTTGGCAGCCAACCAAGCCATCTCCGAGCCCAGGGGAGTGAGTGAGGGAGACAACTGGGCCTGCAGTGCCTGCACAGGGAGACAAAGCAAGAGGTGGGGGTGACCACCTGAGCCCTGGTCTGTGCACTCTCCCCAGAGCGGGCCAAGGAGTCAGCACAGCAGGATGGCGAGCTGGGCGCCCCACCAGCCAGCTTTTGCACTCCTGTCGAGCCTCAGGGCTACTCTTTCCGGCGGGAACCCAGCTACTTTGAGATCCCCACAAAGGAGGCACCTCCACCACCATCACGGCCACCAGAGGTGCCAGAGCGTGAGGTGCCCACCAAGGACGAGGAGGTGATGGGTGGTAGCGGGGCTGCGCCTGTGGTGCAGAGCCACGCTTCCTTCACCATCGAGTTTGACGACTGTAGCCCTGGCAAAGTGAAGATCAAGGACCACATCACCAAGTTCGCCCTGCGCCAGCGGCGGCCCACTGGCAAGGATGCCACGCCTACAGAGATGGTCTCCGCCGAGACCAAGGTGGCTGACTGGCTGGTGCAGAACGACCCAAGCTTGCTGCGCCGAGCTGGCCCGGCCGACGACCGCCACAGCACCAAGAGCGATTTACCCATGCACACCCGCACCCTGAAAGGTCAGTACTCCCTGACATGGGGCCACCCAGTGTGGGCAGGCAGCCACCAGTGAGCCCCAGGCACGTGGCAGACTCTGCTTTGTAACTGATTGCCTAAACTGTCTGTGCACAGCAGCTGAGTTCCATCTAGTATCTGTCAGGAGTCTCAGCTGCAGGGTCTAGGCTCTCACATTGTGGATGCCAGGTCCCTTTACCCATGTGAGGCCCCACGGCAATTGCAGTTCCCCAACAAGATGGTCCTCCTAGGTCACAAGCATGAAGACGGAACACAGAGTGACTCAGAGGACCCCCTGGTCAAGGCAGCTCCAGTAGCCGGTACCCCTGTGGAGGCCGGCGGGGAGCAGATGCGGCTGCAGAGGCAGATCAAGCGAGATCCCCAGGAGCTGCTGCACAACCAGCAGGCCTTTGTCATCCAGTTCTTTGATGAGGACACACCCCGCAAGAAGCGGTCACAGTCCTTCACACATACCCCACCCGGAGACCCCAAGGCTGACAAGCGCCGGGGCCCTGGGTCCACAGATCGAGAACGCCCGGGCACTCCTGCGCGGGGGACAGCAGGCAGCAGCTTGGGGTCCCAGAGGGCCAGCTCACTGAAACGAGAGAAGACAGAGGAGCGGCTGGCCAGTGCCTCACTGGCCACTCGGACCCCTGCTCGTCCCTTTGGCAGTGTGGGCCGCCGCTCCCGCCTGGCCCAGGACTTCATGGCCCAATGCATGCGGGAAAGCTCCCCAGCCACCAGGTCCAGTGCTGAGAAGGTGTCCCCGGGGCCACCCGCACCCTTGACATCCTGTGGGGCCAGTCCCATGGCCTCCCCGGCTACACCACCCCCTCCTGCTGAACCACAGTTGCTCAAGGCACACAGACAGGATGAGGACGACAGCCTCAGCGATGCAGGCACTTACACCATCGAGACAGAGGCTCAGGACAGGGAAGTGGAGGAGGCCCGCAAGATGATCGACCAGGTGCGGCTGGGGGAACGTGGAGTGGGAGGGAGCTCAGTTGGTGTGCATGTTGGGGCCCAGGCACTGGCCTTCACAACCCAGCTGGTTGCTGAATCTGGTCCAGCCAGGCAAGTGGATGCTGTCCACCAGTCCTGTCTGTCACCTTTCTGGTGAAGCCTGTTCCCCGCCCCTCTGTAGTCAAGCAGCCAGATTGCGTATCCTCCATGTTGAAGTGGGACTGGGGGCCAGGCACTTCTGACCCTCTGTGCTTTGTCCTCCTGGCAGGTATTTGGTGTACTTGAGTCCCCTGAACTCTCCAGAGTGTCCTCAGCTACCTTCCGCCCTGTGATCAGAGGGGACAGTGACGGAGGCATGGCCCAGAGAATGGCCTTGCTGCAGGAGTTTGCCTCCCGGCCGCTGGGTGTGAACCCCTCGTTGGAGCACCAGGTATGAGCCCAGATGGCCACTCTGAGAGGGGCAGTAGGAACAGAGCAGTGTCCAGGCTGGGAGTCAAGGCTGATGGCCCTGACGGGGCTAGGCCAGATTTTTCCCCGAGGGTTGCCTCACTTAACAAGCGAACTGGGCATTGATGTGAGTGACCACTCGGTCATTCCTGACTTCCCTTTTGGCTTGTACTATCCCTGCTGAGGACACTCTGGTCTTCTCTGCAGGGCCTAATGGTTCCAGGATGCCCTGGAGGTCAGAAGTGGGTGTCGCGCTGGGCCAGCCTGGCCGACAGCTATTCAGATCCCAGCCTAGCAGGTACGTGACCCAGGGCTGCTGGAGGGACTGGGCCAGGCCAGATAGCCTCGTGCCACTGACAACAGGTGCAGCTTGCACATTGCTATGCCTGGTAGAGGGTCAGGGCTGTGTATGCAGCTAGAGCTGTGGCCACTCTGACTGGACACCCTTGCACCTTGCAGAGGACAGCCTGAGACACAGAGCAGGAGAGCCTGAGGGGGCCCCGCCTACACGCACCAGACGACTGCTTCCCCAGCTGCCCAGTGACAGGGCTGACAGCCCTTCGGGCCCAGAGGCCACCAGGAGGAATGGGCTCGGGCTGCCAGAGCAGGGCATCGAGCAGCCCACCCACCTGGTTAGCCAGGAGGACCTAGACCCTGATAGCCTCAGTGATGCCAGTGGTTCAGATGGAGGCCAGGGCTCTGAGCTGGGCACAGAGCAGCTGGAAGACAGGCACAGGACCCCTCAGGAGGGCCTGGCCTGGGCCAAGGGGCGACGGTCGCCAAAGGCTCCTGGGGAACCTGCCCCCGTCTCTTTCTACATTGGCGACCAGAATGAGGCCGTTGGTTCCCGGAAACCCTTGGCACCTCCTAGGGAGGCAGAGGGTCCTAGGCGAGTGACCCAGGCCAGCCCCTCGGCAAGGGACGGCCTCTACATGAGCAGCAGTGGGAGGATGGTCATCCAGCTGCACACTGGGTGCTCCCCCGAGCCCAGCAGCTCTGGCCCCATCCTACCACAGGAGGCTCCAGGCTTTGTGCGGCAGGAGAGCTTCACCAAGGAGCCAGCAAGTGGCTCCCCAACACCTGGCAAACTCCCGCACATTCCCAGCCACCCGCTCCTGCAGGACCTGACTGCGGTCCGGGCCACACGCATGGATCTCCATGCACAGGATACGCACCTGATTCTGAAGGAGACAGAGACAGCCCTGGCAGCCTTAGAGGCCCAGCTTCTCTCCAAGACCACGGACAAAGAAGACGAGGGGGGCAGCATTCCCAGGCAGCCAGACGACTCCCTCTCTGGGGACTCAGACGTGGACACTGCCAGCACCATCAGCCTGCTCAGTGGCAAGAACGGGCCTAGCCCTACGACCCCACAGCCTCTAGGACCACAGAAGGAGAGGCTGCCGTCTCCGCCAGTGGCTCAGGACCCAGGGGCGATCACCCTGGGCAGCGCGCGTGAGCGACTCTCAGAGAAGCAGCATCGCTCGACAGGTCCTGGTGACCTGGGCCGAGGAGAGGCGGCGCGGCACCTGGCTGTCCGGCGCGGCCAGGGTCCCCGAGGGTCCCAGGACTGGCCCGAGGACCGTGGCTCCAACCTCACCCACCTGCCCCGCGCAGACACAGGCACCCCCAACCATGAGACCCCAGAGACCACTGGGGCAGGTCGCCCAGGTCCTCGCCGGAAACCAGTGGCCCCACCTTCCCTGGCTGCCCAGGAGGAGCAGAGCCGTGGTTCTACCAGTGTCCAGAAGGTGCAGCAGGCACTGACCCGCTCTAATAGTTTGTCCACCCCGCGGCCTACACGGGCTTCCCGGCTCAGGCGGGCCCGGCTGGGGGACACCTCTGACACCGAGGTCACGGACAGTGATCGGGGAGCCACAGGCAACCCTGAGCCAGTGAGCCGACCAGCTGCCGAACAGGCCAAGAAGCTGTCTCGCTTGGACATCCTGGCTATGCCCCGGAAGCGGGCTGGCTCCTTCACAGGGCCCAGCGACTCTGAGGCGGCCCCTGCCCACACAGGCTTTTCTGGCCGCAGTGTGGACCTGTGCTGTGCCAACCGCAAGCCCACCATGGCTGATGCCCGTGTTGCCGCCCGCAAAGCTGCTGCCACAGCCACCGCAGGCTCCCGCCAGCCCTTTAGCAGGGCACGCCCGGGCAGTGCCAGATACTCCTCCAGTGAGTGTGGGGTGGGCAGGGGCATGGGTGGGGGCGGGCAGAGCAGGGCGGCCCCGTGGGCCTGAGGTCAGCCGCCAACCCCCAAAGGGCTCCGTTCCTGGAGCTGGGGGATACGTTGCAGACTGGCACGTGAATGTGTAGGGGCCAAGTGTGCCTGTATCCTATGTGGGCAGGAGACACTGAGCCTCCCAGGACCACAGGGCCCCTATATGACCCCTTGGGGACTGGCTGCCCTAGGCCCTGGGCCCTGGGCCCTGAAACTGTTCTCCTTGGCTCCGCCCTGTGGGAGGCACAGGCATGCCTGCACCTGTCTGGTGGGAGCTTCTGACACACTCTGAGCCCACAGAGCCCTGCCCTGTTCCACGAGGTCCACATGACTGTGTGCCTGCAAGGGCCACGTGTGCTCTGCCTGAGTGGATTGGTTGAGGCCCAGGTGCTGTAGCCCTGCCTGTGCCACTGGTCTGCCCACCTTCAGCCCCATCTACAAGCCTCTCTGCCTGCTGGGACCCCCGGGCAGCCAGGGGTGGGGTTGGGAGGCCTTATGGCTGCGGGCTGAGGACCTCTGCTTGGCCGACCCCACTGTGCCTTCCCCACCCCGCCCAGCATGCAGCCCTTCCTTGTCCATTGCCCATTTGCTGTTCAGGGACTCGGACCAGACCCTGGGAGGAGTGCAGAGCCCTGCCTGGGGGGCTGTCCCTGAGGAGAGGCCTAGCTGTCCTTGCTCACTTGTGCCACCAACCAGACCATGGCTGATCCTCCAGAGAGGCACACTGCATCTTCAGGGGCTGCCTGGGAATGTTCCCTGGCACCCCAGGCGTGGTCCCCTGCCATCGAGCAGACCCACCCCAGGCATGCTGTGCTGGCCCCCGCATGGCCCCTGGGCTGGAGTGACTGTGGTCCCCGAGCTCGGTGGCTGCTGGTGCTTCTGCTGAAGGGCTTCTGGGTGTGGGATGCCAGCCATGGCCCGACCTGGCCCACAGCATAGTGCCCTCACCCAGAGGGCTCCAGGTGCCGTGGGGGTGCTGTGGGGTGCTGAGTGCTGCTTTGTTCTATTCTTGCTTCTGAAACCAATCCACTCCAAGACACTCGTCGTCGGCAGCAGGGCTCGGATTACACATCCACCTCCGAGGAGGAGTACGGCTCCCACCACAGCTCCCCCAAACATGCACGCTCCCATACCTCAACAGCCACGCAGACCCTGCGGGCCAGCAGTGTAGGCCGGGTTCGTTCCCGGGCCCCTGGCCCTCGGGACACAGACGATGATGAGGAGGAGCCTGACCCCTACGGGTTCATCGTGCAGACGGCTGAGATTGCAGAGATTGCCAGGTGAGTGGTGCCATTCTTGGTCAACCACAGGGGCTCTCCTCAGCTGGGAATAACCTGAGGACAGGGACTGGCCAGAAAGTCTGTGATCCAGAGTAGGATAGATGGATGGACGGGTTACTGGGTGGACAGGTGGGATGGATGGGTCACTGGATGGATGTTTTAGCTGATCAGTGGACAGCTGAATGGAGAGTGACTGGGTGGGCGGATGGATGGGTTGATGGACGAGCAGTCACTGGGGGAATGGGCTGGCTGGTGAATGGAGAACTACCTGGAAAGCTGGGAGATGCTGGTACAGAGTACTCTGCCCAGGGTTTTGCTAGGAAGGAACCTGTGCCCGTTACCAGGGAGAGGGGTACAGGTTGCTGAGTAGCTGAGAGAAGCCTCTCACTGACGAGAGGTCAGTACTGATGGCCAAGCCCTGAAAGGGCATAAAGGATGCTGAGCTTGTAAGTGCTGGAAGGGCTCCCAGAGACGGGTGACCCTTGGGAGACCCACATGGGGACGGGGACGTAGGCATCATTGGCACGAAGGTGGCCACTAAGGCTATGGTGAGGTGCGGTCATCCTGGGCGTGCAGCAGTGAGGATGGCAGGAGACAACTGTCTGGTACCCAGGGTGTGGTTGGGCAGTGCCATCTGTGCCCAGCAGCAAAGGCCCCTGGTTCATGGGAAGGGGCCTCCCTAGGGCTTGGCAGGGAGAAGGGCAGAGAACCACGTAGGTTTCTCGAGGTCTGTGTTCCCCAAAGTGGACAAGTTTGGGGCCCAGCTAGCTAGGATCAACAGACAGGAGAAATGTGCCCTGGACACAGAGGGACATGCTGTGGTCCTTGCCCAGCGGAAGCCTGTGGCCCCTGCAGCGTGGCCAGGGCTTAGATTCTCCCAGAGTCCCCTGGGTCTGCCTGCCCTGCCCCTGCTCAGCTCTGACTCCTGAGTCAGAGCTCTAGATGACAGCTGCCGCAGTCTCAGCCCATGCCATCCTCTGCTGCAGTTTCCCTGCTTATAGAGGTGGGCACCTGCGGCATCCACACCTTGGTGTCATCGTGTCCACACCACCTGTCACCTTTTCTGCTGGCTGCAGGCTGAGCCAGACGCTAGTGAAGGATGTGGCCACTCTGGCCCAGGAGATCCACGACGTGACTGCAGATGGCGATCCGATGGGCTCCTCGGGGCTGGCACGTAGCCCATCTCTTGGGAACATGCCCAGCACCCCCGCCTCAACCATCTCTGCCCGAGAGGAGGTGAGCCTGGCCTCCGTGGTGCCGCCCTCACCTAGCACCCTGGCTGCTGTGCAGTGCCCAGGGACTTGCAAGCAGCCTGCACCCTAAGGGGTGGCAGAGGGGCTGGGTAGATGGGTTACCCCTTTGCCTGCCCACCGCCTGGGCTGCAGCAGTGTGCCTGCCTCACCCCTGCAGCTGGTACAACGCATCCCGGAGGCCAGCCTCAACTTCCAGAAGGTGCCGCCTGGGGCTCTGACCTCTCGGGATCTGGACCAGAACATGAACAACAGCCACGAGGATGCCTTTGGCAACAAGACAAGGCCTCGAAACCGTGAGGAGGCACGGTGCCCTGCCCCACACATATGACTCAGCCATGGGGGTGGGGGTCTCAGCCAGTGCAGGATGCTAGGGGTGTAGGGCTTCCTGGGATGGGTGGGGCCCTGCTAATGCCTGGACCCTTTCAGGTGATCTTTGACAACCTGATGCTGAACCCGGTGTCCCAGCTGTCCCACGCCATCCGGGAGAACACTGAGCATCTCACCGAGAAGATGAAGTGAGTTGGTGGCAGGGTGGGCAGACTCGCGTGGTGAGAACCAGGCTAGCTCACACCAGACAAGGGCTCGTAGCCCCATGGGTCTCGAGAGTGTTTCCATCATGTGCAGCTCCCAGAAGGTGGCCCCAGAGCTGGGGGGCACTGCCACTCCTCCTGCCCAATCCCTGGCCCAGCCATCCCACCCTCAGGGCCCAGGAAAGAGGGGGACTTGATGCCAGCAAGCCAGGGCCTGCTCCTGCTCTGGCCTCAGTTCCCACTCTGGGCCCAGGGCGGCAGGAGCTTTCCCATGGTGTTGGGAGGTTCCAGAGAGCTGGGCCACCTTTCGTCACTACCCTTGTCCTTGTCCAGCTGGGCCACCTTTCGTTGCTACCCTTGTCCTTGTCCCTCGCAGGATCCTCTTCCAAAACACGGGCCGTGCATGGGAGGACCTGGAAGCCAGGATCAACGCAGAGAATGAGGTGCCTATCCTGAAGACATCCAACAAGGTGAGGCCCCCCACACCCCCAGGGCCTCACACACACCCCCACACCCCCCCACCCCCGCCCGATTGCTCACCTGCAGCCTCTGCCCGTCCAGGAGATCAGCTGCATCCTGAAGGAGCTGCGGCGCGTACAGAAGCAGCTGGAAGGTAAGTGAGGCCCGCCCGGGCAGTGGAGGTAGGCCCACAGTGGGGATCCCTGCCTGGGCCTCCACCTGACCCCATCTTCTCCACCCCAGTCATCAATGCCATCGTGGACCCCAGCATCAGCTTGGACCTTCTCACGGGAAACAGGACTCCCACAGGCCCCACTGCACAGGGGCTGGGGAAAGGCCCCACCGTGCCTGCTCCAGCTGAGAGCCTGCTGCCCCTGAGGGGCTTCCCACCAAGGGCCACCTGTGGGCCACCCAGCCTCCCTGAGCCTGCCTTCCTTCCCGATGCCGAGCACTTCCTGATCTAGGCCCCGGCCAGGCCAGGCCTCCTGTGCCTGACTGTCCACCGGTAGACCTGCCGCCCAGCCACAGTGTCTCTGAATCCCCTTCATGTGCCATAGCCCCATGGGCGGGCACCTCCTGCCCTGCCAGCACCCCACCCACCTTGCCACCCCCATGGCCACTGTACACTGGGGCCTCCTGGCCCAGCTCTTGGTGTGGCCGCTGCCAAAGGCACACCCCCCAACCTGTCATTTTGTCATTAGCTTTCAAGGCAAGAGTAGCCTGTGCCATGGCAGTACCCTGCTGATCTATCCCCACCTGGATGCTGGCCCAAAGCCAGGCAAGGAAGGGATGGACTGGGGCTGTTCAGTGCCAAATGGGAGCTGGAGGCCTGTGCCCTGGCCAGAGCTACTCCGGAGAGTCCAGCAGCCAATGTGGCTGTGGCAAAATCGGAGCAGGGACCCCACAGCTCCTAGCTTTTGGTGCCAACACAACTGCCAAACCCCCAAGCTTGAGGGCTCCCAGTGGGGCCCTCCCAAGTATGGGCATAGGTAGGGGGACGCAGGCAGTTGTTGGGGCAGCCCCAGTGCCCCTCGATGCTGTACTGAAGGTGTGGGGTGGCAGGGGCACCAGCAGCCCTTCGGAGAGGGAGGACTTAACCAAAGTGACTGGAAACAGGTTTCTGGAAGCTCATGCAGGGGTGTAGACAGCGTGCCCAGTTCTACCCCTGTCCTCCCAGATGCTGTGGGCATTAAATGGGCATCTGCAACAGGCAGTAGCCTGATCCCTTGCAGGGACAGCAGGGACACAGGGACGGGCCCAGAGCAGTGATGCTTTCTCAGGATTCTTCCAGCTGGGAACTGGCCCCTCTGCGGTGCCCCTCTGGAGCCCCAGGTCACAGCACCAAGGCTGCGCAGGGTGGGGCGAGGGCTGGGGCAGCCACAGGCGGATCTGAAGGCCATGGCGGCGACGCAGCTCCCTGTTTACAGTTTGCTGACATGGAGCCAGGTACCTGTGCCCCAGCCCCCCTGATGTTTACGTGCGTGCGTGCGTGTGTGGGGCCAGGTGCAAGACGCCACTGGCCCCACCCCAAGAGCCTGCTGTCCCTTTGGAGGAGGTGCTAGCCGGGCTGCAGCCCGCCTGCATTCCCCACGCAGTGGCCCACAGCCTGGCTTCAGGAGCACAGTGGCCACTCACCTTTGTCCACGCCCCGCCCTTGGTCACCGCTGTACAATTTTTTTATGCACACGTTGGTGTTCCTCCCCATGTCACAGTCCTGGTCCCCCCACCGGCCCTAGACCTGGGTACATACCACCCCGGCTGGCTTCTCGGTGGTGTCTCTACATTGTTCTCAGGTGGTCTTGTGGATGTCTCAGAAATGGTTATTTTATATGATTTGTCATGGAGTTTGTTCTAATAAATCATTCTTGTATCACGTGGCAGCACACCAGGTCTGCCGCCTTGTTCTTTGGTTCGGCGTCAGGTGTCTCCCAGGCAGAGGCTGCAATCCAGAGAAGCAGCCGCCAGGTGGCGGCTGAGCCAATGGCGGGGAAAGCAGGTTTTTTTTAGAGAAAAGGTGGTTTTATTGCAGCCATGAGAGCACAGCGCCTGAGAGTGCGCCTCAAGTCCGGCAAAAGCATGAAAATAGGCAGCAAGGGGGTCTCAGCTGCTCCCAGGAGCCTTTCAACCCCAGTCCTCTCTCCCCTTCGTGGTTTCAGAGGGGTCTTCCTGCCAGAGGGCGGTCACTGCTGCTCCACCACCAGCTGCAGGTGGGGCCAGGAACAGGTGTGAGACCAGCTGCTGCAGGCGGCTGCAGACTGAATGCCCGAGGACAATCAGCCCAAGGCCTGCGCCCCAGCCAGGCACTGTCCTGCTCTACTTCCACACAGGCTGGCAAGCCAGGAGCAGGATCGCCCCTGGCCCCTGGTGAAAGAAGTGAGGGATGGGCGGCACAGGTCTGGACTGGGGAGCTGCTGCTGCCCCGGCTGCTCACTGGCCCGAGTCAGCCTGCCCGGGCTCCTGGCCCGACTGCGGCATCCCCAGCCGGAGAAGCAGCAAGTGGCTCTATTTGCCTGCCCCGCCCCTGTCCAGGGTCAGGCAGGGATGTCTCCCCTCGTGTGTGGGGGCAGATGGGTAAGCTGGCAAGCAGATGGGCATGAACTCTGGCCTCTTCCAGCCCTGCTCCCCTCACTCCCAGCAGCAGCATGTGAGTCCCAGCAGCCTCTGCCTGCCTTGGGAGAGGTCGAGGCTGGGCTGTGGGAGCGAGCAGTGGAGCTGAGCACAGGGATGAGCCATTGGGGCCCCACAGCCCTCGCTGGGCTGCTCCTGGGCTGACTCCAGGCTGGCCGCTCTCACGGGGCTGTGCAGGAGGTGACCCAGTGCCTGCCCCATGGGCGGTGGAGGTGAGGTGAGCCGGGGTGGCTGCCAGGCTCCACAAGGTGGGGTGTTGGGAGGGGAAGGCGAGTCAGGAAGGTGTGGCTCTGGAGGGAATAGTCCTTTGCCCTGGGGAATGGATTAAGATCCAGGAAGGGGAGCTGAGAGCAGAGGTCAGAGCCCACACAACGGTAGTTGGGGGGGCTTAGCTAGCAAAGGGGTCTGTGGGGCAGTGGAGGGTTAAGTGACATGGTAGGCTCGTGTCAGGGTCTGAGGCATTGCAAGGAATAGGTCTTGGCTTAGAGTTTGAAGGCAAGACCTCTGTGGGGACAGAGATGGCGGCTCAAGGGCTGTGAGCCTGCTGTAGGTCTCTGGTCATTGGCAGAAATGAATAAAACACGCCAAGGCAGATACGTTAATTCACCTCTGATTAGTTTTGGTGTTGGCAAACAAACCTGAAAGAATTAGACTCACATATTTTCCATGCAAAAACCAATGGCTTTTTGACAGCTTTGTCTCACTGTGATGTTTTCTTTTGCATTCCCAAGACCCCCTCAGCCTCTCCTTCCTGCTCCCCCACCTCTGCTTCTTGTCTAGCAGGCTCCCTTCCACCTTCATGGAATGCTTTTTCTAGATACCGTGTATTAGGAAAAACACGATGCTTGTCATCTGGCATGTGGCTTGGTGCGTTTCCCATGATGGTCTTCAGTCCACTCGATGTCCTGCTGCTGGCAGACTTCGCTCTTCTTTATGGCTAAGTGACACCCGTGGCACATACGCACCAAGCTGGCTTCACCCACTTATCTATTAACAGGCACATGGGCAACACGGGAATGAGGGTGGAGAGCTGATTCAGTTCTGAGGATCTGCTGAGGAGTGGTACAGCTGAATCACATTGTTGCTCTGTGTTTAGCTGTTTGAGAACCCTCCACACTGACCTCCGCAGTGGCTGCACCAACTTACATTCTCACCAGCAGCGTGAGAGTTCCTTTTTTGTGTGTTTTGTATTCTGGATGAGAGCCTTTCTGACTAGGGTGAGACAGACTCTTTAAAGATCCTAATGAGCTAAAGCTTTTTTCATATACTTATTGGTCATTTGTAACTTATTTTGAAAAGTGTTTATTCGATTCACTTCCCCTTTATCTATTAGTTTAAGTTTTTTTGTTTGATTTTGCTTTGTTTTGAGACAAGGTCTTGCTATGTAGTTCAGGTTAGTCTTGAGCTCATTCTGTAACCCAGGATGGCCTTGAGTCCTATCCACCTGCCTCAGCCTTCCCAGTGCTGGGATTGCAGTCCTACGGCACCACACCAAGGTTTTTGATTGATTGTGAGGGTTGGTTTTTCTTGGTGGTGGTTTGAGTTCTGTGTGCTGGGTATTATTCCATGTGGGAGACTGCTGAGTTGTGATCCTCTGAGAAATCAAGCCCCTTGCCTCCATCTTTCTCTGACCTTTACCTCAGCCCTGTTCCTTTAATTGGTCAAAACAATGTGGTAGAGTTTGGTCCAGGCACCCATGAGTCCCAGCACGCAAGGCAGCGCACATGGGTGAGAATGGACTGCCTGCTGATGGCTGGAATGGGGCTTCAAGCAGGAGCTTGTGAGAGAGATTGCAGGGCTGACCTTGGGATTCAGAAAGAATTACACTTCTGGCAGGAAAGGTGCCAGCCTTCTGAACGTGAAGTTGTCTGTTGCACCACCAGGAAGCCTCAGTGCCTGGCACAAGTGCGCTTTTTCCTTCTTTATAAGCCACACCTGTGAGTTATTACTCCCATGCACTCTGCCAAGACCCCGCCTGCCTCCCTGATTGGCGCCAGTAAAAGCCAATAAAAGCTGTGGGCACTCTGACTCTTGGCTCTTTGTTCCAAGAGCAGGGGGTTATCCCAGTGCCCTTCAGCTGCAAATTCTTCTCTCTTTGTCTTCTTTTTCACCCATGTGCCATATTGCCAGGTGGGAGACCTGAGCCCTTGGGGGGTTTTGGTAACTCCCCTTTTAGGATAGTATTTGGCGAGGCTGTGTCTTCATTCCGCTGATTGTTTACTTTGCACGCGTAGGCTTTTCAGTTGGTGTGTCTGGGTCATTGGTCCTTCCTGTCGTCCGTAGTCCTGTTCAGCATGTCTGTGCTTGTGCCCACATCCCAGTGTATTTTCTGTATGTTTTCTTGTAGCCATTTTAAAGCTTATGGTTTTATGTTGGGGTCTTTGAGCCATTCTGAATTGATTTTATTTCATGAGGCAGAAGATAAGGATCCATTGCAATTTTCTTTCTTTCTTTTTGGTACTGGGGATCAAACTCATTACCTCACACTTGTTAGGTGGGCACTTACGCCTCTGACCTAAATCCCTGGCCCTCCACTTGCAATTTTCTGCTTGTGGATATCCAGTTTTCTTGACATTATTTGTTAAAGAGAGTATGTATTCTCATATGTTTATGGCACCTTTGTTTATGAGAATCAGATGACTTTAGCTATGGGGATTTATTTCTGGGTCCTCTGCTCTATTCTGCTTTTATGCCAGCACCATGCTGTTTTTGTCCCTATGGCTTTGTAACATACATATATATATATATATATATATATATATTTTTTTTTTTTTTTTTTTTTTTTTTTTTGGTCTTTTTCCTTTTTATCGGTACCAGGGATCAAACTCACGACTGCCTGCTTGCAAGGCAGGCGCTTATGCCACTGAGCTAAATCCCCAGCCCCGGCTTTGTAATATATTTTGAAATCAGGTATTCCTTTTTGCTCAGGACTGCTTTGGTGATTTGGGTTACTTTGTGCTTCTATATGAATTTAAAGATTTTTTTCTAGTTCTATGAAGAATCTGTGTCATTAGCATTTTGATGGGGATTGTATTGAATCTATATATTATTTCATGCAATATGACTGTTTTAACAATTTTGATTCTGTCAATGCATGAACATGGGAACTCCATCTTCTAGTGTTATCTTTGATTTCTTCAGGGTTTTGTAATTTTCTTTGTAAAGACCTTTTACCTCCTTGGTTAGGTTTATTCCTATGTGTTTTTTAAACCATGATAAATGGAATTGTTTTCGTAATTTCTTTCTCAGAGAATTCATTATTGATTTATACAAAAGGCACTGATTTCTGTGTACTGATTTTAGATGTAGTTGGGGTTTTTTGTTTGTTGATTGGTTTGTTTTGTTTTTGATACAGGGTCTCACAATATAATTCAGGCTAGCTTTGAACTCACTTTATGTAACTTGGGCTGATCTGGAACTCATGGCAGTCCTCCTGCCTCAGCCTCCCAAGTATTGGGATTATTGGCATATACCACCATGCCTGGCTCTGTATACTGAGCACTCTGTATACAGACACTGCTACTTTGTTGAGTTTGTTTGTTAATTCTAAGAATATTTTTGTAGAACCTTTAGTATCTTGTAAGTATAAAATCATATCAACTGTAAACAGGAATGTTTGTACTTTGTCCTTTCCTGTTCATATCCCTTTTATTTCTTCCTCTTGCCTGATTGCTCTGGCTAGAGTTTCAAAGTACCAAATCAAATAAGACTGGCAGGGTGGACACTCTTGTCTTGCTCCTTTATCTTAAGAGGAAATGCTTTCAGTCTTCCCAAGATAGTGTGCTGGCTGTGGGTTTGTCAGAGGTGTATTGTTCTTACTGAGGTGAGATCCTTCTGTGTATACAATAGTTTCTTCAGGGCTTTCATCAGGAAAAGGGATTGAATTTTATCAAGATTTTTCCTGTGTCTATTGAGCTGATTATGTGGCTTTTTTGTCCTCGATTCTAGTTATACAGTATATTATTCTGATGATTTGTGTACACTGAGCCATCCTTGAATCCCTAGAGTGAAACCAGTCTGATCATGGTGCATGATCTTTTTAATGTTCTGTTAAATTTGATTGCAAGTATTTTTTGAGGAATTTTGCATCTGTCTTCATCCAGAATGTTGGTGTAGTTTTTTTTGTGTTATATCCTATCCAGTTTGGGTATCAGGCTGATACCAGCTTCATAGATGGAGTTTGGGGGTTTTCCTTCCCTTTTTGTTTCATCAAATAATTTGGGGAGCATTGGTGTTCTTCTTTAAAGGTCTGGTG